TGATATGTCACGTGACTAGACCTGGACCTTCGGGGCGTCTAGGACTGTTAGTACTTCACGTACCGGTTCGTTCCTTTCTGAACAGCCTAGCACTGATGTCAAATGATGTCTTGGTCATGTGCAGAGGTGAAAACGTGAAAATCTGTGACAGTACCCCCCCTTCTAGACAGTTTGTCCTGAATCTGGCTTTTTACGTGGTTTCTGAAAGTAATTATCGCCTGTTGAACCAAATCCACGGTGACCTCGGGCTGAGGGTTTGAGGTAATCAACCAGTGAAACGACAGGGGTGATAATACGTTCAATGATAAGTTGAGCAACTCGATCGCCCAAATTGACTGTGAAGTCATCATTTGTATTATTGATTAGCAAAATCTTGATTTCGCCTGTGTATCCTCTGTCGATAACACCAGCACCTACATCGATGCCTTTGACAGCTAACCCACTTTGTGGCGCAATTCGACCATAGGTCCCTCGAGGTGTTGTAAAATGAAGCCCTGTGGATACCAATCCTCGTGAGTGTGCTCGGATGGTTGTTGGTTCTGATGTGGCTAAATCCATTCCAGCATCGTCTTCATGAGCATATTTTGGTGCGTGTGCATTTGCATTGTCTAATGTAATTTGAAGATCTCTAGAATGATCCCAATCATCTCTATCCTGATCGTATATCTGAATGGTATCAGTGGCGGGGTCGTAGACTTGACCTGTTCTCCTGGGTGGAAAAACGCCATCGACCGGAGTTGTATCAATGAGAGATATTGGTTGAGGTGCGTCAGGATATTTTCTGTGAAATTCCTTGATGAGACGCAGAGATTTCTTCAAATTTGCTGCAGGTTCCCAAGTTTCTTCAGCTTTAGAATAACCCTTCCAATGCACCAAATATTGAAGTTTGCTACGAACGACACGAGAGTCGACTATGTATTCGACTTCTCATTCTTCGCCAGTCTTCTTCTTGATAGGAGGACGGGGTCTGAGAGTGTGGTCTGGTATTTCATCTTTGTGGTAGAGCGTGAGCTTTGACGCATGAAAAACTGGATGAACACCGTATTGTCGTGGCATTTTGAGTCTATATGTGACTGGTCCTAGTTTTTCTACGATTTCGAAGGGTCCATCTCTCCGTTGTGCCAATTTGGCTCCCAATGTCTGCCAATCTTTAGTGGAGAGTAATACTTGATCTCCAACTTTGAAAGGTGCAGGTCGTACGGATTGATCGTAGTACCACTTCATGTGTTCAGCTGCCAATAGAATGGCTGCTTTCGCTTGCTCTTGCACTTCTACTCGTGCCTGCATTATGGAATCTAGCGTATTATGCTTTATAGGGTCCATTATTGTTGGTTCTGCACATGGATGTCTACCGTATTCGACAGAGAATGGTGAATTCTTAGTGGCTTCAGAAGCCTGATTGTTATAGGCGAATTCGGCAGTTGAAAGTAAAGTACTCCAGTCTTCCATGTGTTTATCCGTATAAATACGAAGATATTGCTCCAGTGACTGATTTGTTCTTTCAGTTTGACCATCGGTCTCCGGATGATATGCGGATGACATTGTTGATTGTATTTCAAGGAGCTTGCGTACTTCTTGGAATAATGCGCTTGCAAACTGAGTACCTCTATCCGAGATAATCTGTCTCGGAAGACCATGCTGTGTCCATACCCTCTCATAGAAAGTACGGGCAAGGTCTGATGCTGAGAACTCATTGGTGATTGCAAAGAAGTGCGCTCGTTTGGTCAAACAATCGACAACTACCATAATTGCGTTGAATCCATGGAATTCTGGTAATTGAGTAATCAAATCGACAGAGACAATTTCTCAAGGTTCAGTTAGAACCTCATTTGGCTGTAATTCTTCGTATTTTGGCTGATTGATGTTCTTGTTGTGTTGACAAAGGTCGCAAGAACCAACATACTTTTTGATGTAAGTGGACATTCCCGGCCACCAGTAATTATGAGATAACATCTCATATGTCTTCCATCTTCCAGGATGACCTGCACTGGCAGCTTCATGATGACGCTGAACGATTTCTCGTCTAAGTGATTCCTTATTATCTGCTTTCGGCACATAGATTTTGCCTCGGTATAGTAATATTCCACTTTCGAAGTTCCAGTCTTCAAGTCCTTTCGAAAACTCTCGTTGTCCTTTCTTGAGTAGGTCTTGATATGATTTGTTCACATTGTCATCTTGTAGTGATTCCTTGATCTTATCCACCAAATCATGATCTGTGACGACTGCAAGATGGGTATGTTGAATAGCTTTAATCGCGAAATATTCCGGTTTGAGCAGAGTCTTGTCAGAATTATCGAGATTTACCCCCTCTTCATGATCTGGCCTCCTGGACAGAGGATCCGCGTGATGCATTGATTTCCCTGATTTGTGATGTAGTTGGATGTTGAACCGTGTAAGATATAACGACCATCGAGCTTGCCACCTCATCAGCTTTTGTGCTGATTTGAAATAGGTTAAATTCTGGTGATCGGACCATATTTCGACTGGGAGCGGATGACCTTCGAGATGTTGTCGGTATTCTTCCAACGCTCGAATAATTGTGAGCATCTCTTTGTCATAGATTTCATAGTTCCGCTCAGCCTCATTGAGGCTTTTCGAATAGAATGTGATTGGATGCCACAACCCATCGTCTTTGAGTTGTTCCAGGCATGCGCCAGTGGCAAAATCGCTGGAATCCATTTCTAACCGGAATGAATGTGTATCATCTGGTAATGCCAGAATTGGAGCTGTTGTAAAAGCTTTCTTGAGAGCATCGAATGATTGTTGTTGCTCTTCGCTCCATACCCATTTCTGATCCTTTCGTGTAACGATATTGAGTGGTCGAAACTTTTTGGCAAATCCTTCAATGAATCGACGATAGAAATTTGCGAACCCAAGAAAGGCTTGTACTTGCTTAACCTTCTTGGGTTCAGGCCAGTCGAGTACACCTGCGACCTTTTGAGGGTCCATACGGACCTCGCCTTGAGAGATAATCATCCCTAAGTACTCAATCGAGGGCTGTTCGAAAAAGCACTTTTCTGGTTTGGCAAAAAGGTCGTTGTCCCGCAATCTTTTAATTACCTCTTTGGTAATCTTCCGATGTTGTTTCAAATCATTAGTGAAGATTAGGATATCATCGAGGTAGACGATCACATGACATTCCCAAATAAGATCATCTAAAATCTCATTCATCATGTGTTGGAAGGTGGCTGGTGCATTACAGAAACCGAAAAACATAACCGTGGCCTCGTATAAACCGCGATGCATCACAAAAGCTGTTTTCCATTCATCACCCTTACGGATGCGAACATTGTTGTATCCCCATCTGAGATCCAGCTTGGTGAATATTGACGCGTTACTGAGCTGATCGATAAGCTCGCTTATTCGTGAAATAGAGAAGCGATTCTTCTTGGTTATAGCATTAAGTTTTCGGTAGTCTTGTACCAGTCTTAGTGTGCTGTCCTTCTTCTTGACAAAGAATACTGGGGCAGCAATAGGTGATTTCGATTTTCGAATGTAGCCTTTTGCTAGGTTTTCGTCGATCCACGAATCTAAGGAATTTCTTTCCTCCGGATTCATAGGATAGAGTTTGCTTGGTCATGGTAATTCATGTTTTTCTTCAAAGTCGATTGCATGATCATAAGGCTTTCGAGTTGGCATCCTTTCAGATGCTTTCTTGGAGAAGACATCACCGAATGAATGTAGATAATCTGGTACTAGTTTTTCCCAAGATTCTACTTCATTAATAACCTGATCTTCTGGGCTGCCAGTGTTTGACTGGGGTGCCGCTTCTTTCAGGCTTTCTTCTGATTCAGCATAGCCGCAATCTGCTATAGAAAGTATCATGTGGGCTATTTATTCGGCTTCGGGGTCGTCCATTTCAACTCACGAGATGATAGGATTTACTGCATCGATGTTGTGTCCATTAAACATTCAGAAAGCAGTTGGCTCCTCATCTGCCACTTGTTGTGCTCGTTGCGAGATTTCTTCAGCTTCCTCTCTTGCAATGGCTTGTTGTTTTTTATGAAGCCTCTGGTGGTGACACGTACTCGGGCATTGTGAGTACTTCCATTCTCCAGCTTGCCAGTTGATTTCTGGATTATGCTGACATAAGTATGACATCCCAATGATCATGTCTAATTTCCCAATGTCTGTGACTAGCAGATGATGGGTAGAACCATGATCTCCGACTTTGAGGTATGCTTTTACATAGTCAGTTATTTCACCATATTTGTTTTGGGATCCGTCAGCATTGTACACTTTATACGTAGTGTTTAGCTTGGAGGTTGCGATTCGATTGTTCTTGACGAATCACTTGCTGATGTACATGGAATATGCTCCTGAGTCAACTAGAGCTTCGGCGCTCGATTTTTTGCCGTACACCCATAATGTAACTGGTAAATAGAATGATGATAAATTCGGAGACGAATTCTTTATTGTTACATTATCATTCTCTGCGTTGCGACGATCTACAGAGGTGTCTGAGCGGGGTGCTAAATGTACAGGTCTTATATAATGTTCTGGGGACTCTGACGAGCTGCCTACAGATCCCCTTTGAGAAAACCCTTCCGATCCTTCCTTGAAGAGCCCTCTCCCGCCTTCCTTGATGAACTGGATCATTCGCCCTCAGGCGCCTGAGCCTTGAGAGGATCACGGTGAAATCTTCGTCCGACTCGGATGCATCAGGCTCGCTTTCCGAGTGGATGCTGCGGTCGCTAATATGCGCAGCTGTCTCCTTACCCTTCCCCTTGGTCTTAGAGGAAGAGCTCTTTTTCTTTAGCTTCTTCTCTTCTTCGGTGTCAGAGCTTTTGCTCTCTGCATCTGATGAAGCAGAATCAGACACCACCTGTCGTGTCTTGGACGACTTGGATTTGTTCCTGGCGTCGTCCTTTTTCTTCCCGTCCTTCTTCTTCACAGCTGTCTCTTTCTCCTTCTCAATCTGCCTCTTGACATGGTCCAATTTGAAACAATCGGTGCAATACTTGCCGAAGCATTTCGACAATTTGAAGAATGTCGGCTTGTTCTTCTTGCAGTTGGCACAGACCAACTTGTTGTCTTGCACACTTCACGCTTTGCCCGATTTACTCTTTCCCTTCTTCCCGACTGCATCAACCTCCATAGCATTCGGGTCCTTGGTTTCGGCCTTGGCATGGTGGCCTTCTCGTTGTAGTGATGTGAATATCCGGAGTGCGAATGTAAGGAACTTGGTCCACTTCTTGGGCCAGTTGTCCTTAGTGGTATCCGCCAGCATGAGCAGCCACGTTTTCTCCGGAATATGTTTCTTGATCTTTTCGATCAAGTCTTGATCCGAGAAGCCTGTACCGGTTGCCTTTGGACGGAAGTCTTCTGTGAACTTTCAGAAGTCTCGATGATCCTTCTTGACAAAGGCTTCTAACTCTGTTCGCTTCTTGTCGTCCTTGTCCAATGATTCATATGCCGTGCAAAGTTCAGCGACGAACTCCGCCCAAGTTCCTGGTGCCTTATTATTTTCATTTATTTCGGTGATCCAATGCCGCATGTATTCGCGTGCTCCTCCTTTCAGGAGCAAGAGGGTAGACATAATTTTGGACTCGTCTTTTGTATGTCCGGTATATTTCAACCAGAGCATGACTTGTTCAAGCCAATCATCGAGATTGACTCCGTCCTTATTGCCACCATATTTTTCTGGTTGGTCAATTTTTACGCCTTTACCCTTGTGACCAAACGACAGCTCATCGTCGTCGTCCGTGTCGTCGACATTGTTACCGCCTTGCCCTGCTTTCCATCCCTGCATAGATGCCCATGCGCGAAGTCGATCATGTGATTTCTTTAGGAATCTTCTCCTCTCATTTGAAGATCCTTGATTTCATCGTCAACTGCCACAAATGCTTCATAAGTGGTCTTGTTTTCCTCGAGTAAAGCTGATGAGGTTTTCTCTAAGTCTGCGATTCGAGACTCAGATTGTTGACGATGTTGGTCTAAGAAGACCGTCCGATTGTGAAACTCTGTGGTGTTACGTTCCATCGTGTGTGCTTGGCGCTGGATAAGATTTTCATAATGTGCCACCGTTTGTTAACGCATTTCTTCCACCACGTTTGTGACGAGATCGACTATCCAATTCTTCACATTTTCGGGTATGTTCGCATTTGGGGGTGCCATGTCGGCAAGGGCTTGACGAATGATAGGATTTGGGGGTTGCAAAACAATATTAAGACGTGCGGGAAGCTCCAGAGATGGAGCGCGAGAGAAGCTTGGATCATTTGGGGTGGGAGTCGTCATCTTACAGTTCTTCCTCTATTTCTCGAAGATGTTCTTCGAACTCGACGATATGTCTATTGGCGATCGTAGCCTGTCGGGCAATTACTTGTCCTGAGCATTGGTTTCGCAGCAATCAAAGGTCGCGATGAATGACCTTGACGAAGGGTTGCCACAAAAACCTGGTTTTGTCCCTGACTGCGGGCCACTGATGGTTATGATGAATGTCGCAAATACGCTCGACTTCTTCGAGCCAATCGACGAAGCTATTGTAAGCTTCAGTGAGACGGTCTTCGGGTTCTTCGGATCCAATAGAGATATAGCAGATATGAACCACGACGTTCCTCCAATCAAATTCTGGATAGATTTGGAGGGCGTAGATGTAATATACATCGTGGTAATTGATGTCGAACGTGTCCTCATATGTAGCAAACGCTTCGCCTGCTCTGTCTCGAAGAACACGTGGAATTGAATCTCAAAGATAATCGAAGGTGTGACCGATTGGATTGATGTGCTCGAAATTATCAAGGTCGTTCGAATCGCCCGATGAAGACATATACAAAGTAAATATTCGTATCTACAGCAAAGGTCGCCCTGTGACCTGTATTCCTAGACGATACTTCTGGATAATATCTCTGATTATCCAGCGAGCCTCTCCGCCCTGATGCTTCCTCTCCTGGACGTAGTTGCAGAAGTCGCGAACCACGTGTTGGTGAATGAAGGGAAGCTTGAATTCTGCGATGTCAGTGCAGATGGATTCGAGCTTGAGTATGAGATGCTCGAGGTCGAAGATGTCGTGGTCGTCAAGCTGACGACGATATCATTTGGTGAGTAGGATACGAATCTGTCGAAGGGTGCCTTCGACACGCTGAGTCGAGATGATGGAGACGGCGAGAGGATAGACGAAATGAGACCCAGTAGCGGTCTCGACGTAGGTTCCTTGATTGAGATCTGGACCAGACAGTTCTGCAGGTAGTCTCGGTCGCCTGACTGAGGGAGTCTGGATAATAGAAACTGAACTAGTGCCACGAGGGGGCCGACCTCCCATAGAGATGTGTCCTGGCCTTGGCAGGGGTCTTATGGGCCGCTGCTCATAGAACTCTTCTGGAGTTCTCACTCGAGGATGACGGATGACACCGTCGATGCTGCGCAATGCCTTGGTGCAGCTTACACTGGTAGAGTCGGTGACTGACAGAACGTCAGGTGAAGATATGACACCGCTAACGTGCGGGTGGACGTGCGAAGACGCAACACTGCGGTGAGTACGCTGGGCAGGCACTCGAGGCAGGTAAGATGAGCAGACTTATTCTTCTATCACAAACTTAGGATGCAGAGCGCCGACTAAGCCTATGACCTTATGATCAAACACTTACTGACTGTTGTTGACGTAAGGATGGACACAAAGATGATCAAGGTAAAGCAGCGACTTGCAAGTGGTCGCTGGTGACACTATATGGATAGGCGTAGCAGAGAT